TAGGGATCATCATGATATTGAATGATGTTTTGCAAAGGTATGTACTCTTCAGAATAACCCCAAAAGCACCTAGTTCAAAATTAGCATCAAAGTGTAGCATCTGAAGCCTATGGTCATGAGGCTGATTGCTGTACTTGTGATTTATTAAAGTATATTAAATTATGTGACTTTTGCATGTAAAATAAAATATACTCCTAAACATGATGAATTAGTGCCCATCTCAACTCAGATATGTGTCAACTGCTTTTTATTAGTAATGGCAGCTTCAGTCTTTTTAAAATTCATTTGATACCAGGTCTAAAAATTACCTTAATAAGCATTCCACATCATATTTAATCTTAACCTCAACTTTAAAAGTTTAGATATCATGTTTATTTTAAAAAATGGGGGACTTATAGAAACAGACAGCAATCTGCTGAAAGCCTCTGAACTCATTAGAAATAAAACTGAGGTAGCAGCAATGCTACGTTACCTAGTTGATAATATTTTTCATGCCGGTCTCCATGTCTTCATTGTCAGGGGGATTTACATTTTTCATAGTGTACTTTGTGTATGTGGATTTTTAATATGTAAGTGTGTATTCATTGTGTTTATGCCAAGCCATCTTAAGGCCTAAAACTTGCTGCTCAGTTTCACAGCTCAAGGCATCTGTAAGACATGGGGTTGGCTTGTCTGGGGAAGCATGTCTATACAGGCAGGTTTGCCTTGACTTCATCTCCAAGTGGAGAAATAAAGTGTATATATGAATTACACTCATGTTTAAGGAATTTAAAGTTTGCATATCTCCAAACACTCTCAACCATTGTTATTGTTATTTTTAGCTACAGACAGTCCTATAGGCTCTAGAATGAGAGTTCTTTCCCTGATTTCATAGACTGCTGAGCACTACCTTTATTCAGAGTGTTGTTAGCCATGTAGCTTAGAGTGATCCATGAACATTTGCTCAAATCTTTTGTAAGTCCTATTGATTATTTAACAGCTTGCAATCATCTGAAGATCTTTATTCATTCTGCACATGTGATTTTGTTAGATTTTTGAGCAGTAAATTTCCTGCTCAGGGACTTGTGGATTTGGTCTCTTAATAGTGTCTTTAAATAATTTAATGATTAAGATAAAAGTTAGGCTTCTGTGGTTGACTTAAGAAATCTTTTCCTTAACCAAGATTACAAAAGTACTCAAAAGCATAACACTCGAAGAATGAGGTTTGGTTGTAATTCTTCTCAGGGTCTTTTATTAAATTAAAATTTTCTTTTATTTTACATTTATGTAGTGTATTCCTAACATTTCTACCTCTTTATTAAATGTCCAGCACTATCCCAAGCTCCATCTTAAGTCTGTGGCCTCTTTTTTTTTTTTTTTTTTTTTCACTTCCGTTTTGCAAGTTTGAGCTTCGAACTGTGATCATTTATCATCTGCTGGAGGGATGGCTTCAGGGCCAATGGCAGACTGCTCTGCTGACTTTGCTCCCTCACCGACCATTCCCTCTGCTGCTCCCTCAGCCCTTCCCTCTCTTCTTCTGTTCCTCTCTCTCTCCTTTGCCCCTTCCTGCTTCCCTCTCTCCTTCCCCCTCTCCTTCCCCAGCCCTCTCAATAACGCCCATCTTCCATTTCTCCATCTCTCATTTCTGCCTTCCTCCTTCCCTCCCTCTCTCCTCCTTTTCCTCCCCCTTCTCTTTCTCGTTTCCTTCCTTTCTTCTTCCTTCTCTCCTTTCTTTTTCTTTCTTCCTTTGTCACTTCTTTCCTCCCTCACTTTGTTCCTCACTTCCCTCTGGAAAAAGTATTTATTTTCTTCTGAATTTCAATGTGTATAAAAGTGTTAAGATGGGTTTTTGCTATGTAGATATCAATGAAATAAAATTATGGCTCCAGATGCAATATTTCTTGTAAGTGGCAACACTCCCTCCTGGGACACAGGATAAACAAGGTCTTTCAGACTGAACTATCTTTGTGCAGTGGCAATGGCTCCGAGGTTAAGATCTCGTTTTTGCTCTTGTAGATGACTGAAGTTTGGTTCTGAGCATCAAGTGGATGATAATGCCCTGTAACTTAGCCCCAGGAGATCATATACACCTTTCTAGCCTCTATCTTTGTGCCATTGATGTGGATACATAAAGCCACATGATCTAGTCTGTTTTAGACAAAGAAAAATTAGTTTCTGCTTGCTCTTTTGATTCACTACTTTTTTGTTTTATAAGGCGACATATATAGAGAATATTTTATATACATTTAGTCTACAATTTTATATACTTTAATATAATTAATTAGTGTATATCTTGGCCTATCTAAGCCAGACTAGCATTTACTTTGTTATTTCTTCATTCCTTGACAAAAATATAATTTAAATTTCACAGTTATTTAAAATCAGGATATTGAGTCATCATAGGCCTCTCATTATGAGAAGAATCAATTTACTCCATCTAGGACACTTAATTATCTTTTTTTGATATGTTTCTTACTCATTATGCTACTAGGATTTGCTTTTAATTAGGTGTCTTTTACTAGAGTAAAGAAGGGAGTAGTATATGTTATTTGATATGTCACTGATTTAATTTCTTTTATGCTTCATTGTCATAGTAGGAATTATATGCAACCCAGGGTACTAACATTGTGAGACTACTATGTCAGTAAGTTAGGATGCAGCAGAATCTATACCTAGCTACTGGACAATAGATACATAGTTAATATAATATAGTCTTGGTAAAGATGCTCAGTTCTCCTGATTTAAAAGTAAATAAGTCTAACTTAATATCATCATTCTCTTTTTAGATACACCATGATTCTCAAATTCTTATTTTATTTTCCTACTATAGTCTCATATTTTTATAAATATTCCTATTTTTATGTATCATGCAGTCACTATTAAATGAATATTTCACAAATATCCTAGATATCAGTGACATTAGACCAGATTTGTCTTTTGAACTTTTGCTTTTGGAGGAAGTTTCCTACCCTTTATTTGACTTTGTTTTGTTTTTTTGAAAATGTATTTATCAGAGACTGAAGCAGCAAACACAGGGCCTACAAGGGTCTGAACCAGTTCCTCTACATGTATTTTATAATTTCAGTTTAGTATTTTTTCTTTATTAAGAAATTTTTTTTATTAATTTTACATACCAACCACAGATCCCCCTCTCTTCCATATTCCTCCTCCCTCTCCCAGCCTTCCTCTCACAACTCACCCACAATTCCCTCTTCCAAAAAGATGAGGCCTCCCATGGTTAGTCAGCAAAGCCTGGTACATTCAGATGAGACAGGTCCAATCCTCTCCCTCTGCATCAAGGCTGTACAAGGTGTCCCACCAGAGGTAACTGGCCCCCAAAGCCAGCTAATGCACCAGGGATAGATACTGATCCCACTGCTAAGGCCCCTTGAACAGACCAAGCTACACAACTGTCTTGCTTATGCAGAGGGCCTGGTCCAGTCTCATGCAGGCTCCACAGCTGTTGGTCTAAAGTTCATGAGTTCCCAGTAGTTTGATTTCTCCATCAAATGACTCAGCAAGGTAATTGTCTATTTTTACTTTTTCTGATGTAATTTACAATAGAGGATATTGGGTTGAATCTCTGTAAAAGGGGTTTTCAGTATAAAGACTATCCTCCCCACTTCTTGGATAATGGAAAAGAGTAAAAATCTAAATAACTATTCTTCCTGTTTTGGAGACAAGATACTGAGTAATAGAATAGGAGTCCTGTCTATTTCTGACTTCCCCAGTTCAGTTAGTGGTGTGGGGGACTGTGCTGAATGTCATAAAAATCACTTATCATGAGCACTTCCCATATGCATAAGGAGGGTGTAGGTCTCATGTCAGTCCCAGTCCTCCAAAACAAAACACATGCAATTAACAAGATTTGGAATGATGATGAGAACAAACTCCAAATGGCTTTTAGTTGAATGGTTATAGCATATAAAATTCATTTGTGTTTCTCTTCAAAACAGATAAGATTAAAAGAAGAGTTATTAAAAAAAAAAATGGACCTTGAATGAGAGGTGTCTGGGGAGAAATTGCAAATTGCAGTTACTACACAGGTTCAAAGAGAAGACATAATGGGGGTCACTCAATCTGCCCCCAAAAGCCTGTAAACCCAAGAAGTCATTTTTGATATTCAGCAGGTTAAAATGTAATATTCAAACAGAGTGTGTCAGAATAAGAATCTAAACAATAGGCGGGAACCACAGGGCAGAGCCACATGGATGCAGAAATGGGAGACACTATTTCAGACATCTTAATGGTGACCCATCAGGGGCTGGATGCTAATTCTCAGCTGGTAAGGATTGACTAACAAGAGAAAAGCCACATTCATTTTTCCAACAATGCGCTCATGACTCTGCATAATCATTGGCAGACTTATAAGTTAAAAAAAAATGTTTAAGTGTAAAATTCAATGACCTAAAAATGACGGTATTGTACCAGCATTCAGTCAGGGGTGAGGCAAATGTAATGCCACTTCATTGCTATGTGGTTGGTGAAATTTGGAGTATGTTTTTATTTTCCTCTCCTCTTACAACTTCCCAAATAAATCCATTTTTCTTAGAGCCAATTTATATTTCCCAACTTAATGATGCATTTTGCCCATATAGCTCTGCAACTGCTCTCTGAAGCTGGCCAACAATGATCTCACCTCACCTACAGTATAAATCCATCAGACAATAAACAACATCATTTTTATTTCAATAAGGATGACACAGTACATGTCGAATTGGTGGTTAAATAATTTATTTCTCTTTCAGGTGCAATCTGCCAGGCTTTTTGTAACTCTCCTTCTGATACGCATTTCATGTTTAATAGTTCATCGCCTCATGAGGATGCTTGTCAATCAATTAAATTGAAATGTCATTCTGACCTTTAATTGGAAACAATTTACTCTTTTCTTCATTTCATTGGGAGCTTTTTTCCTCTGTTGTTCAAATTCAAAGCCAAAATCATTCATATTCAAAAGCTTTATAATAATTAATGTTGGAAAATGACCTACTCACCAATATACTGACACTTTGTCATTGCAGAAGTTATTCAGCTGAGTCTACCTGAAGATCAGAGAGTAAGCATTACTGCAGCCACCGTGGGACAAAGTGCTGTTCTGAGTTGTGCCGTTGTGGGAGCCCTGAGACCCCCTATCATATGGAAGAGGAACAATATTGTTCTAAATAACTTAGATTTGGAAGACATCAATGTGAGTATGTGAAACAGAGATGCTGTCCAGTGTGTGCATTTTGCAAAGTTACCTTGTGCTCTGTTGTTTCTGGGGAGCTAAATGAATACTGGATACAGAGTATAAGAGAATTATTAGAAGGTTGTATATCTATCCTACAGTTGGTAGGTACCCAACAGAGCAGTTGTAATTATGCAAATCATTTGTACTGGTGTAGTAAGATTATGTAGCTGTATATTAGTCAGAAAATGTATTAGCACAACATTTTATAAATATCTCTTTAGTTTTAAAATGCAAATTGTCTTCCTAGTAAATTCACATCTATTATGTATTCCAGGAACACTATAAGCTCAAATTTGCATGTATGAAATTGTGAATGCTCAGAGTCCAAGAATAAAAAGTTAAGACTGCTACCCATAAGAAGATGTGCCTGAGTACAGGATGTGTGTGTGTTGTGTGTGTGTGTGTGTGTGTGTGTGTGTGTGTGTGTGTGTGCCCATTGATAGCTGTTAAGAGTTCCAGTGGAGGAGTAATATTTAGTTATCTGAAAATATAGGCATAATGTGTTTGTATAACACAAATTCCTTTAATATAAAAATGTGTCTCTTCACCTAAAAATATATATTGCTAATTTATGAAATGTATCTGGGGTCTCTCTCTGAATTAATTCCCAGCATGCAATGGTACTAAGGATGAGGGATGGAAGTACCTTTTGCAACTTCTTACTTGTTCATATATTAATTCTTAAGAAGAAAATGCTTTGAATTATATTGTGTTGTGCATTTTTAATGAAGCTTTGATATTAGGGAACACATTATAAAAAGAACATGTGCTTGCATGTCTGTCATAACATGGCTTTCTCTGGTGAAATGAATTGCTACAGAGTACTCTCTATGTTCACTGGGAAAAGGAAGACCATGTCCCTCATAGGATGAACTGCTTTAATATTAAACAAGCCTGAGTATTTTCTTACGGAATTGATAGATCCGGGCAAGTAAAACAAACAAACAAACTAATAAATAAGTAAATAAATGAAAGTAAAATAAAATCCAGTGAACACTATCATTGATTAAGCATCTCTGGAAGCCATATTTGTCAAGGACTCTTGAGAATATATCTAAATATAGGTAATTAATCTCTTTGCAATGTCATCATGATTGAGTAACAGCCAGTAGCTTGTGAAAAGCCAGCTGAGACAAAATGAAGTTTTATTTTACAGTTCATTGGCATCAAGAAATATTAATTATCTTAGTTACTGTTTTACTGCTGTGAAGAGACACCATGACCATGGCAAATCTTGTAAAAGACACCATGTAATTGAGGCTTGCTTACAGTTTCAGAAGTTTAGTATATTATTATCATGGCAGAGAGCATGGTGGCATGAAAACAGACTTGATGCTGGAGGAGCAGGTAGGAATTCTCCATCCAGATCCGCAGGCAGTAGGAAGAGCCAAAAACTGGACCTAGCTTGGGCTTTTGAAACTTCAAATGACTTCCTCAAATGGCACATCTCCTAATCCTTTCAAATAGTGTCATTCTTTGATGATTAAGTAAAGTGGAAGATAGATAATTGCTGGCAACAAGAAATCTTTGACACTCTAAATAATGACATCTAAAAGGATCCATAATATTATATAAGTATTCTAATTTATACTATCTTTTTTGTTTGTTTTCTGCACTGGTTAAATACGATTAGCCATCTGGCTTAAGCCTTAGCAGCACTAAACATCATATATTTTCTGTGCTAAATTGAACAAGAACTGATTTGTTGATGTATTTGGCTTGTTGAACAGAACTTTCCTCAATACTCCTTTTTACCCCTCCTCCACTGCCTTGTAGGTGATATTTCTTCCCTTGGATAACTATTTTCTCCATATTGGTCCTGAGTTTAATTCATCTATCAAATAAAACTAGCTTAACTAGAATTTATACTGTTTCAATAGGAAGTATAAAATCACTTTGTGTTTAGTCTGAGAAAAGAAATATACAGATGTACTAGTGTAACACTGGAATACTGGGCTCACATGTAGATTTCCCGATCTAGCATTCCCTGGATAGTTTTTCAGATTTTAAATCAGATCAAATATGTGTCTCTAGGCAACTGAATATCTGTTTTGTGATCATCTCCACTGAATGTCACCTGTCAGCATAGGGTACCTTGGGATTCAGTTCTTTTCTTTCCTGACTTTAGTAGCAAATATTTTATTGACTCTCATTGACCTGAGCTATTGATTTCTCTGATCCCATTGCAGCTTTTCATAAGTTGTGGCAGATCTGGTCATGGTCTGAAACACTGTCTTCTAACTCCTTTATCTGTAAAACATTCTGTCATGTTCACATTCAGAAGCCAATTAGTCTGTGAAAAATATGTAGCGTGTGAGAATTTTGATAGCTACTGATCAACAAATGGCATTCTTTTTCTGCCTGAGAAGAGGTACCTGATAATGAGAATGCTGAGGTATATTGTGCTGAGTGTCTCAATTGCAGAGATGTTACACTTCCATAGGGATCATTACGTATTTTTTTCATCATTGTGTATCACCTTTCTTAATGAGAAATCAACTGAAATTACATGAACTCTAGCAACCACAAATCTGAGATTTTCCCCTGTCCTACTTTATTATTTGTTGGATGCCATTCTTAAAGTCATGTGCATTAGTGAGGAAAGAAGTATGGAAGGCTGCAAATTCCCATTGTACTTTGTTTCCCCCGCCCTCTTTTTCACTGTGGTGAAAATACGTAGTGTCAGATCAATCTTCCTAAATTTTTAAGTGCACAATAAAGTCATGCTAACAATAGGCACACTATTTTACAGCACATCCCTAGAACTTATTTATCTTCCATAACAGACCCCTGGTAATAACTCATTTCCCTCCCACAGTCCACAGAGACCATTATTCTACACTATATTTCTGTGATCTTGACTTTTGTAGCTTCCCCATAAAGTGGGTTCATGTGGAGATTATTCTTTGTGACTGCTTATTTCCCTAAGCATAATGACCTTCAAGTTTATCAATGTTGCTATTATAAGAATAAAAAGTGGTGTGTCCTCTCTCTTTAGTCTACTTAATAATTTCCTTACTTTGGCTATATTGAAATGGACATACACATATAAATATATTTTGAGATAGTGATTACAATTATTTTTATATACTCCATAAATGGGATTGATTGTGTATATGGTAATTTAGTATATATTTTTTGAAAAAGCTACATGCTATCATTTTATTAAGAAATTTTTTAGTTATTTTACATACCAACCACAGATCCTGAGGTTCTCTTCCCTCCTCCTGCCTCCCTCAGCTTCCTTCCCCCCAACCCACTCCCCACTTCCTCCTTCAACAAGGCACAACCTCCCATGGGGAATCAGGAGGACCTGGTGCATTCAGTTGAGGCAGGTCCAAGTGCCTCCCTCTGCATCCAGGGTTGTGCAAGGTGTCTCAACATAGATTATGGGCTCCACAAAGCCAACTCATGCACCAGTGATGGATCCCAATCTTATTTCCAGGGGGACTATTAAGCAAATCAAGCTACATCTCTGTTGTACATTGCAAGCAAAGGTCCATGGGTTCCAGTTTATCTATATCTTTGAGTAATCTTGCTATTTTTATTTATCTGTATGTCGAATAATAGTAATCCTAATGCAGAAAGTAATGTTTATGGTTTAAATTTTACTATTATATCTACTATTGTTGTTATTATGTGTATATGATGTGTAAGTGTGTGCATGCAAAATGGGGTTCATGTGGAGGGCAAAGGTTTCCTGGTTTGAGCAGTAAGTGCCTTTATGCATGACCCATCTCACTGGCCCTCCTTTATGGTCCCAGTTTGCAGTTTCCTAACTCTTAAGGTTGTGGAGCACTAGGGTACATAACGCATGCAATTCGTATATTTTCTTTGAGGAAACATCTACTTAGTTTCTGTGCCCAATTTTGCTTGAGTTACGTGTTATTTATTGTTATTATTATTATTATGCTTATAATTTGTAAAAAGTTCACCAAATCAACATACTTTCATGACAAAAACGTTTAATAAACCAGGAACAGAAAGATCTGATTGGTATCAACAACAAAGTGGAGAAAATGAATTGTTCTTCCTCTGAGATCAAAAGAGAAAAGAATGCCCAGTCTCAGCATTGTGTACATCATATCTAAGGCAATCTGAGGCAGAGTGAGAAGTCAAATATAGGAATGTAATGCATGAGAGCCTCCTGACATCCGATGCCAGATGTAGGTAAGAATGTTTCCAAGTAGACACAATCACCTCAAGTTATTACCATTTATGAAATGTGTTCAAGAGGATTGTCACACAGTTGCTCTTCATTTAAAGAGAAGTGTTCCATTGAAGTACATCACAGGTGGATCACATGCAATTGAAGCTCTCACTTGAAACAAAACAGATACAGTCATCCAGGTGGCAGCTCAACAGATTCTTAGGTTGTAGAGAGAGGAACAATTCTGAGGCCAGCACCTAATTCAGTCTAGGAAGGTAACATAGATGAAGAATAAAACTGCCATTGTGTGTAAGAATTTTGTCATGACACACATAATATAGAGAACTATAAATATTCAAAAGTGTTTCAGAATATCTACTGTGGTTTGTATTTGTGATTAGAATCAGCCAGTGGTATCAAGCATCTTAAACTAATATGTAGGGATTCTACTTGTAGAATATGCTAACTACGTCATGTAATTTTGATTCTTTTTTTAAAGATTTATGTATTTATTATGTATACAGTGTTCTGCCTGCATGTATGCCTGCAGGCCAGAAGAGGGCACCATATCTCATTACAGATGGTTGTGAGCCACAATGTGGTTGCTGGGAATTGAACACAGAACCTCTGGAAGAACAGCCAGTGCTCTTAACCTCTGAGCCATCTCTCCAGCCCGTAATTTTAATTCTTAGAGCAATGAGAAAAAAACTAGTTTCATAATTTTACCCTCAAAATGTATATTAAAAGAATATACTATAGACTGTATATATAATTCAGATTTATTTTTATATAGTATATAAGACATTTT